TAGTTGCACTTCATAATAAGCGATCACCTATCAATATCAAGCACTTTCTATTGTTCGGTGTAATAAAACTTCTACATTTTTTCATCCTAATTTTTTGAGAACCCCATTTGGGAGTTGAAAAAGCTAAAGAAACAGGTGGAGTTCGGCTTGTCACATCGTGTTTGAGCAGTTTATCTACTCGCAGCATTCGCCATTATTGCAAAAATCGCCATCATCTTAAACGAATTCCACTCGCAAAGCATTAACTTTGCCTTCGATCCAAAAAGCCAGCAAATGGCCGTAGTGGTAGTCCGAAAACGTCTAATGCCGGTTATCTGTGTTTCTTATGGAAAACAGCAATCGACCAAGATTTAGCACGTTAACGAAGGCATATGGGAGACAACGAGAAGTGTGAAGTGCTTAGACCCAGACAACACGTAAAGACGGATTATCGAAGTGCAGAAGTAAGTAAAGTAACAGGTGATTTTATGTTATAAAAAATTTGAAAAGTTAAGGAAAATAGTAAGTTGGTGTGCTGATGTTAAAATTCTTGTTGGCATTATCCTAAACACTATATCATTGCAACATCTCAGGTTTGCCAATAAACGAAATTGAGAATCACAACGATTCCCAGCTATCTCCGTGAACAATTTTCTTGCCTTCCGTGTCGATCTATATCACTACCAGCACTGATTTCAACATAGATCTGTGTCACAGAAAACGAGTAGATTTTTTTCGCGACAACGAGATAATATCAGTTTATCTTATGTTGTCTATGCGGCACTCTAATATTCACTGAATTTCGCTAAACTGAAGTTCTCTCGGTTAAGAAACACGGAGGAAATGTGGGAAACTGCGAAGCCGTGTGGTTTACTGCAATTAGGAGCCGGTAGTGAGCTGCCCTGAGGCTGCTGGCTTGAGGTAATGTTCTCAATCTTCTATGTCGATGCCAAGGAAGCCCTTTGTCCTTCCATAACCTGTTTCAGTTCGAGCACAACCTTCCGTGGAGGTTAAATCAGCAGAGACCAAAGGGAAACTTGCCACATTAGTGAATATTTGAATGAAACAGAAAGCAACTGTGGATTTTAATGAAATAATCAATATTGTTAAGGTCATTGTTATCCTTCGACTCTTTCACGGCCATACATCTTGATTTCAGTGCGGACTTCAAGTACTCGCCAATGACAAGTCGTCTGGTGGGCCAGTCACGCGAAAATGTTAGGGGTATTGAAGGGTTGAACCTTTTGTATTGTAACAACTATTTAGTGAACAGAGTTGGCCAGAATTCCTTTCCTTTCAATACTTTTACGTAAACACTTAGCTTTTTGATCACGCAACATTTTCATGAACCTTTGTAGTGAATCGATGGCTTGTCAAACACAGAATTTGTACTGGGTTTGGTCCATAGATAAGTATTTTCAGCTATACTTCCAAAAATTCGTTTTGGACAGTGAAGATCACACAAAGAGAGTATCCAAGAAGATGGATAAGAAGAACATACACAGAAAAACATACATAGCGGATATGCACAAGTTAGAGAAATATGGAAAAGTATGAGGGAACCGAACAACAAAGCGATATTCTTAGAAAACCAGTGCGTCATGCCTCATGCGCGGGGTTACGGATCGTGAACCTTCACTTCAGTGCGCATCTCGACTGGGTTTCAATGACACGCTGTAGTGAAAATGTTAAAAATCGTTATACATTAGGCTTAACTATTACTTTGGCAAGAAATAGCAACGCGAAGTGACACAACTGAATTGTGAGAATGGTGTAGCTTCACCCTTTTCAACGGTATTTCAACAAATCCCTCCATTTCTGAGATATCATCGTATAGTATTCTTATTCAACTGTTCCTAGAAAGGTGATACTTCTTCACTATATCGTATTGGAATGATATTAAGTACGTATAAATCATAATGTTCATAACCGCTGTTTTTCTTTTTCACAGACAAGTGCGGCGGCAACTAATCGACTTTATAGGGACGCAGGGTCCGGTCAACTTTGGTTCGGGATCGACTCAATGATTAAGTGCGTACAATAGGATTCTTCTGACCAGTGCACTACACGGGCCTCGACTGTGGCTCGTACACTTTATTTTATTATTTCACCAGTTTTTTCCATGTGTTGTTCACTGGAGTGGTTTATTTACTTACTTAATTTACCTACTAACTCGCGACAAATATGATTTCAAGGTACTCCGAAAACTTTTAAATCTAGAAAAACGTGTATTATCGTCAATCTGTGCAAGTTTTAAAATTATGGAGGAAAATCTCGTGAAAACATTAACAACAACATGAACTGCGCCTTATGTTTTCGTCGTTTTATTAATGTCCGCATGTTTCCCGGTATGGTTCATCAGATTCAAGGAATGTTCTGTTCTTGGTTAGGCATTCTCGTTCAGAACAAAGAAAAAAGCCAAGACGCTTACTTTTCGACGTTGCACGAAACCTGACAAGTGAACTCGTTCTGGGGAAGAACAGTATTAAAATACGCATATGTTTCACATTTCTGATAGGTCACCAGTTTTTCAATAACCTTATTTAAAGTGAATATGAAGAAAAACGATTTCAGAAAAAAAAAGCCACGACGATAAAAAAAACTAAGCAAAAGTTACATTTGACTAGATTAGGTTAAGAAGTTTTGCAAAGAGGATGTTAAAAAATGGGAAAAGAACCTGAGAAGAAAGATGATCGGTATAAAAAAGACAAAAAATGAAAAGAGCAGCAATTGCAGTAATGTCATAATGAGCTGCTGATGAGAACTGTTCATACGGTTTTTCGTCTCTGACGTCCGTAATCCCATCATTTAGTCACTAAGAAGCTCTGATAGGTGCCAGAAATGTTTGAATTCGTCGTGGACGAGGACCACGGCTGTTCAGTGTGTTATACCGACTCAATGGAAACGAAAAGCAACACAAATTTTTTGAAATGACAACCTCCCCTTTTCGATATTGGTAATGGTTATGTAGTCGCAGGTGAACGAATAGGGTGTGCTATGGTACAGCTTATCTCTCAAATTAGACTTCTAGCTGAAAAGGTTGAACTTTTTTCGGCTTGGGTGACTCTTCTTGGAAAGTGAGGTTAGTTTTGCATCATCACTCAACACATAGAAATACTTCTTAGCTACAATACTGACACTTACCCTGCAACAGAAGACTTGAAGCTCATAAAATTAAATATCAAAACAGATCTTTCGAAATGAGCACCTACACCTTGTATACACAAAAAATATGGATATCAGAAAACAAGAGGCTCTGTTATGAGCGTGCATCGAATCCATTCACTGGAAAACGTTTCGTTTTCGAAAACATGATTTACATGGAAAAGGTGCCACGAAAAGAAATGAAAATTCTGACAATACAGGAGGAAATCTAGAGAAGGCGAACTAATGTTAAGATTAGTGGCTTAGTGAGTCATAGTGAATCATAATAACAAAAAGCTGAACATACTGAAAGTATCGCCTAATTGTAACTCTTTGCAAGCGTCTTCCAATCAGAGAAACAGAAAAAACAAACAAAAATAGTGAACTGGATTGATTGTGTCAAAGTACTTCAACTGATTCACTCACGAGCTGTGAATATAACTACTACCGGTGCAGTCATGTGTTTACACTACTTATATAGTTCAAAGGCTATTAGCAAGTCTTAAAGTTTAATAGCTTAGTGACTTTAAGCTTTTTATTTTGCTTTTATAGAACCACTAAAATAGCGATTTTTTAAAAAAATTTTTAAGGTGTGGATCTATAGGAGAAGCTGTATTTGGAATAAAGAGCAGTACTGCTAAAAACAAATAGTACTAAGAAAATGTTATGGCGTATTAGGTTTATTTCAAAAATTTTCTAGACACAATTTTTGGATTTGTTTTCTGAATAGTTTTTTTTTGCAAAATCTCACTTTCAATATTCATCGATTTTAGTCATTTTCACCTTTTGCTCAATTCTACGAAACGGACGCAGTGAAAATGACGAGATTTTATCAAAGGGCTTTTGTTCATAAAGTATTGTCTACACATTTATCACGTTTTTCATTATACTACCATCTTATCCTTAAGGTTTTTCTAGATGAACAATCTATGTACCTCTAAGGTAATGTTGTCATAAAGTTTTTTCCATATTCATTAACTGCTAGCGCTACCAATGACTTCGCTTCATTCTTTTCAGGTTTTTTTATAGAGATGAATCTGTAATAGTACTTTGGAAATAAACTGGGGGTTTTGCTCATAATTTATTATAAAAGGAAAATGAATGAAAATATTTTAGACTACCTTTGCTTAGCGGACAGCCTTTACGATTAGGAAAGTACTTCAACGACTATCTCTTTCTCATTTCTTGCTCAGGTCCACAAGTACATGAGTGTATGCACTGCATTGATTATGGACTGTATGGAACCGCCGTGCGTCTGATTTCGTCTGTACCAACGTAGAACTGATTGAATGTATATCTCTTCTATAGAATGACACTTTCAGGAGCTTTCTGTTATAGCAAATCGCTGCCCTTGTGACTCACCTCCAGACAAGTGTGGTAGTAATTTGTCGAACCTAAGGAGGAAGGAAGGTCTTGCGGTGAAGGATTGAACGGCAAAGACCAAATGCCTATTGCATAGCACCACTAATACTGCAGTACACGAAACACAGGACTCATGAGTCTCCATACATTACACAGTGTTTTTTTTTACTGGAACAACTGAATTTGGATGGAGTTGTCTGTCCTTTTTTTTCTTTCAGATTTCGTTCAAATTTATTCTTCACATACTCTGTGCGATAGTCTATGAAAACATATCACTGAACACAAAAAATACGCTATTGAACGAAAAGTCGAAGTAGTAAATTTGATCTGAGAATGTACAGTACAATAAAGGTATTCGATGAATGTAAAAGAAGATGGCGAAAGTTCATGGAAGGGTTTATGTAGTACCCGAATCGAAAAAAGAGGCGCTCAAACAATAACGAGATGAGGAAAAAAATGAACTAGGTGTACTGCAGTAACACGAGTATGAAATGCTAACAAAACATTGATTGTACTCAGTTTTGCTGTGATATTGTGGCATAAATCCAATGGCAACCAATCATTCCTTCTTTTGTATTATGTAGTATATCATTCATTTCCTTCGGGCTCAGATGGTTAATTGGGCGATCGAAAATCCGAGCAGCAATCACTAACGGAATCTCCTGAAAAAAATTTTTCTTCTTATTCCAATCGTTCTCAAACCAGTGTCTTGCCTTGTTTTTTCATTGTCATTGAATTACTGAAGCTGGAAATGTGACAGAGAATGGAGTTTTTCGGAAAGAAGAACAAACTCGATGCTACGTCGTAAAATAAATTATCACTAGATAACTCTCATATTCACAAAATCAAAACGTACATACATATCAGAACCCTAGAGAATGAAAAGTGTAATAAAACCAAGCTGACAAAGCCGAATGTGCTCACCCCAGATCGCGCACGTGAACTGACGAAGAGATCCCATAGCTGCTCTGCACGGCTAGCATTCTGAATAGAATCCGTTAAGAAATCAGTGTAATAGCGAGGTGATTCAATCAAACACATCCTTACTTGGTCTAAAAATGGAAGCAGTTCATTTTTCGTGGGTAAGCATACTCTCAATGAGAGGTCAGTGTAGCTACCCGGCTTGAGTCCCTAAATGCTACAAAGTTTGAACGATTAGGTCTTCATAAGGGTTAGGTTTGTTCAAAAATAAAGTTTTACATTCGAGTACAAAATTTTTCATTCCGCTGTTAAGATACTGGCAAAAATATTTACATATTAGCAAAAAGTGATAAAAGGATTAAAGGATAAAGCTCGCGGTGTTGATCAATCGCTAAGTGATGCGCTATGCATTCGACTTCATTAAGCATCGTTTGGTGATGATTGAATGCATATCTTTACAATAACTCGCTGTGGCCTACCGATGTATCGAACCAGTGCTGCTATCCTCCGAGACAAGTCTGGTACCAATTTTTCGACCCCAGAGGGATGGAAGGCTTGGTGGGCCATGGGAGCGGGACGGATTCCAGGTGTGCGTTGCAGGGTGCTTCCGACCACTGCGCCACACGCGATTAACTTGATATTAACCACTTGATCCTAGATGATACCTCTTTTGAACATTGAGCTGGGCGATTTCCTTGGAAAATTTGTACGAAATTCTTCAACGACCCACCCATTGTTTCGCATATGTCGCAGTGAACGCTAAATTAAAAACAGAAAAATGTTTCAGTGTTTGATGACAAAAGTGATTGAATGACGTCATACCATGAACCTATTCCGCCGCAACCATTTTTATCGGCATTCACACATCGTTCGGGTTTTCCGTGAATTCCAATTCGTGTTTCCAGATGAACGTAATACTTTTTCAATCCAGACAGTCCAGGAGGATATATCTGTAGTGACTTCCAGAGCGTTTAATAAAATTCTATTAGAGTAGGAAAATTTTAAGCGTGAAATAAAGAACAAAGAAATTTTGACGGCTTTACTAATTATTCAGTTTAAAGGGGATTTTCAGTCATTTTTATTGAGCATTACACTTACATCTACTCGTCCACCACTCATTCGAAAACATTTGTGACCCTGAGAGTTTGTCTCCTCGTGAAATTGAACGCCGGTAGTTTTGTACGATGGGAATTTGATGAGAAGGTTCTCTTTTTTTGGGCCTAAAAGTGATAAGTATTGTTTGCTATAGCTGCGAAAGAAATCCTCAATGCGTTGATTTGTGTTTCCTGGTGGCTGGTTGATAGCTATAAGAAGAAAGAGCCGATCCGATCAAAGCATGGTAGCGAATCTGGAATCGCCAAGCGACTTCGCAATATCGAAATCCTGTTTCGAGTTCACGCACTAACGCTTCTCTTTGATGGGTTAACACAGTGCTCTATGAGTGAATCGCCAACCTCAGGGTTTCTGTCAACCTTAGCATATCATGACATAATATCAGAGCAAACAAACTGGTTCTGGTTAAAAACAGTTGACCATTAACTGTGTGGCGGCATTGCTAGTGTTACAGTGTTAAAAGTTCACTGGCAATTGCATTTTTCTCCATGAACCTAAGTCAATCTGATAACGATAAGAAGACGATGGTATCACAGTTTCATAAAGGATTAGTACATGTACTTACTTCAGGCTTAAGTGCTTTGAGTGCTTTGAATGGTATTTGTAGTAGATTCACTGCATAAAAAAGGACAAAAGATAAAGCTCTTGGTGTTCGTCAACCCCTGAGGGATGCACCATGGATTCCACTTCATTAAGCACCGTTGGAGGTGATTGAATGAATATCTGGCCGATACAAACACTCGCGACGGTCTACGATGCATCGAATCAGTGCTGTTATTCTCCCAGACAAGTCTGGCACCAATTTCCCGATCTCGGGTGGACGGAAGACTTAACCTGAGACGCGGGATCGGCTCAGCTATATTGCACGGTGCCTCCAACCACTGCTCTACATGCGCTACTGATCTACCGCATATCTAGGCTAATCGACCCAAGCCAACGTAATCAACATCTCACTGGTCGCATATCGGGATCAAACAGCTGTTGCCTGATACAGCATCATTGATTCATCGGTTTTATGTTTCCTGAAACTTTGCCTTTTGTATGCTTAAACTTGTTTAAAAAGAGTACGATCGACCACCGTACTACATAAAATTAAGCTGCGATGCTACAAATTTACAAACATCTGAGTCGTACAGTCACGTTTGTGACTTTAGTCAATAAGGCATACGTCTATAAACAGGAACATATAGGTAACAATTTCAAACTATTACACAGTTCTCGGTTTTCGATTGATTATCTTGTCCAACAGCCAACAAGTTGAAACGTTCGTCAGACAAGCCCTCTGTCGTTTATCAAAAATATATATCACACAGTTTCACCCGGTAATGTCCGTCAATTCCATTGGAAAAACTTCTATCAGTTGATTTCGGCACATATGATAATATTTGATGAGCTTTTTTTTTAGATTAATCGATATTCCAGAGAGTTTACACCACACGTTTAGGAAACAATTCCACTACTTCATGTGACAGTTCTCTTGAAGACACAAAAAACTGTTGCCAAAATGATGAACGCTTAACAGTTAGCAATCGTAATCACTTATGTGGCTCAGTTTTTGATTTCCTTTTGATATCTGCGTCCTTTAAACATTTATGTTTTCGTCATAATGGTCATCGTGTGGTAAACAGAACAGAGCGTGTTCAGAAAAAAGAGAAAATGCAATTTTCATGTAGCCTGGTATGGATATAGAATGAAAGATGGAAAAGGATAAAGCTGTGGGCGTTAATGAATCCCTGAGTGATGTTCCATGGATTTGACTTCATTGAATATGGTTAGAGGTGACTGAATACATATTTGGCCTTCACAGTAAAATGCGGTGGCCTACCCGGTAGATATATCGAATCAGTGTTGCTATCCTCACAGATAAGTTCGGTTACAATTTGCCGATTCTGGATGAATGGATGGATCGGTTGCTAGGCCTAGGGCGTGGGATCGACCTTAAATGTATTGCAAGATACCTCTAACCACTGCGCTACACGCCCCACGGTCGTACAATAGTGATCGAATAATAAGACGATGCACGAAACAGGGTTAGATCAATGTCGTCACCAAGGTCGTTCCCAAACAATAGAGGGTGGTTTTTAAGAATGAGAAAAAAAGACCTCTGAACTGTTCATATTGCCTGAACAGCATGAATAGTTGAGACGACAAACATGAATTAATGAACTACTTTCAATAAGCGAGTACCAGCGATCACAGAAAAATGATACTTGTTAAATTCAGTTATAACTGAAATAATTAAGTAATGATGAAACAAGATAACCTGAGCTCGATGAACACGGGAAGTGTCGTTCGATTCTCACAGAGATGTCAGCACTGAGTGTTGGATGTACGTAGAGAATGTTGAGGAGCAGAATAGCCGGTAGAGGTACGAGGTGATGAAGGTGTCTCATCATGTTCATCGTGTACATCACTACTACTGGAACTAAAGGCTTGCGACGCCTTTTAACTGTACGCCACTGTTTCTCGCCTTCGCCCTCTCGTTCTCTCGTCGGGAGGCGTGCCCCCATCTGAGTTGCCCCAACGTCGTTGCCTGACGGGGTTTGGGAGGGGGAACTGTCACAAGCACACACACCCTCGCATTTCCACGTGTGTCCCTAAGCGCATAGGGTGGTAGAAAACGTAAGTTATTTATGTAAATTTTGCGTGTATAATATAATGAGGGTTTGCGTTTTTTAATACACCTCAAATGGAAAGTTTACCTTAAAAAACAACAAAACCATGTTGTTTTTTCCCAAGAAAATAACCGTAATTCGACTTGGGCATACATCTAAGGAAATGAGCAGCATGTCAAAAAACTAAGACGGTCTTACATTATAGATTCGAGCGAAAATAACTAGGCATAGAGCAGCTCAAGTAACAAATTTCGCCAGACCTTTACTATACATGTCTGCGGTCAATGGGGGTACTGACGGTATCAATTGTACTGTTGTTCTTCAGTACTGGGCAGTTTTGTTTTCTTTAACTTCTCACTTGTCAGCGCCAAAGGCACATTTCTTCGTTGGTTTTCGTCCACTCTTCACAGCCGAGGCTTTGTTTATCTCTACATTACATCAAATACGTTTTGTTAGGTTTTATTGTTCTTTATTCGGCTTTCGCTTAAGTCACGTAAAGTACGTGGTCCGATCAGAACATTTTATTGAAACATTTTGTTCCATTTTTTAGAAAGTGTCGCACACAAGCGATGTGCAATGAAAGATTGACACAACACACCATGATAGCAGGAAGTAATGCTGTTCATAATTGAATCCGTCGTCCTACGGTGATTGTGGTCATCATCATGGGTGTGGTAGTTGTGGCTATTGTGGCTGCTTTAGCATTTATGGAGATTTTGGTGCTATAGATCTACACCACGACAGTGGTGGTGATTGTGATGTTGACAATTGTGTTGTAGCTACGTAAGTGCTGATGATTCTGAAACGCTGAATGGGTCGCTTAAAATGCGTTAAGAAAGCAAATGTCGAATCCTCTGGCACACTCACACACCTTCCTATTTCTATGCCTCCGTAAGAGGATGGATTCCTAGAGAAAAATAATTTGTGTAGATTTGGGTGCAAATAATGAGGGTGTGTACTTCGCACAATGCTGCAAGAGAAACTTCTGTCTTAAAAATATTTCTTCTTTCCTAGGAAATGACCGTAGTCTGAATCTTACATTTATCAGAAAAACGAATGGTATAGAAGGAAACTAAAATGGTCTCATGTTCGTCGTATGTTCTAGATCCGAATAAAAATAACTAGACATAAAGCGACCTAAGCAACAAATTTGACAAGACTTTTACCATACAAGAAATTTCTATTTGCTAATATACTTACATGTTCCGTGTTCGATTGGTAGGTACAAAAAATTGTTCATTTCTTTTCCTTGCATTGTGATCGCATGTCATTGATACGGTTGAAATCTTGGATGGTTTCAGCTGAAGTTGAAAGAAAAGTAGGTGTCTCTCGCTATTGAGGAGTTCGGTGCTAGAGAGACGTGCTCTTTTCCGGAACTCCAAAATATTGCTACCGAAGGGTTCTCAAGTCTTCACCAAGTTGCATTGGCGGACTTTTCTGAGACGGAAGAAGATTTGTATTGCTAGAACATTCTCAGTCTTTATCATATTGCAGATTCCTTTTTAGGAACTCAAAGAGGTTTGTAATGCTAAAACTTTCCTATCTCTACCATGTTGCACGCTACCAGCTGTCGTACAATGGAAGGAGATTTTCAGTAATAACATCATTTCAGGTCATCACCATGTTGTAGATTGCTACCTTTTGTGGAACACAATGACATTCGCTGCTTACGACTAGGATTCTTCCAAAATAGCAAAAAGCTACTACAGTAGCAACTGCAGCTCACTCGGTTAACCAAAAGTTTAAAAACAATGTAGCTTTTCCTTTATCAATACTAATAGTCTTAAATGTTATTAGTGACAAGAATCAAATTTCAATAGGTACTTGACCAAATCCAACATAGTGGCAGTGTTATTTTACCATGTCGTAAGGGTCAGTTCTAAGTTGGTAATGTATATAGTCGTTACCTCTCCCAAGTAGATTACACTAATTCAAGCACCATATTGAAAAAGCGATGAGTTATGTACTATTTGTAAATTGTTTGCATGGTTTTCGCGAGAAATTCTTTTTTGTCAAAATTATTTATCAAAGCGTAGAATGAGGAGATAAAATTGCAAAGGCCAAGTGTTTTTTTTTATAAACTCTAGGTTCTCTTCGCTTCACACTCTACCTAAATTCTTCTCAATGAGTAACTGATCTATATGGCAGCAGAGTGCTGCTGGGTACAACAATTTACAGCGTGTGGTCATCTTTGGGACAGGTTCAGCGGCAGGGAGCAGTTCGATACTTCCAAGAGAAAACCTAGGTAACTTGGAGTGAATAAATAAGAGTAGTAGTTGTTGCTTTGGAAGAAACGTTAGTCTCAAAGCGACAAACCTATCTACCCTCGCCTGTCATAAACAATGATCGACTACGCCGATTACCCGTAGTGAAAACATGAAAACACCTTAGCATTGGAATCTCGGGACTGCAAGAAAAACAACTTCTTTCCATTCAGAAGAATATCGTTCACTTAGAAGTGCTACTGGTGCGTAGTAATATTCTTTAAGAGAACGGACTACCTAACTACCGTATGAAGTAAGTGGGCACGTGTAGCGCAGCAGTCAAAGGTATTCGACGCCGAAATCTTTGTGCATTTTCTCAAGTAAATGCGATGATTCAGAAATTAATATGAGCTTTAGCACATGAAGTTGTTTCACATCTTCTGAATCCAATATTCTGTGTTGACCATGTCCTGCTATTCGATACTTTATTGTCGCTGTATGGATAACAGTATTATGAGGTTTTTTTCAAATAATGTATCCAGCCATAAATTTTCGTTCGACACGTGGCCAAAATACTCAACTCATTAAATGTTTCAAAATTTTACATTGTTTGCAGAGGAGAACCTTCCCAGTGTTTCATATTGACTGATCAACCTAAACATAGGTGCTATGAACTTTATTCACGTTATAAAAGACGAAGAATAAAATGTGTTTTTTGTTATTCACCATTCACCTTCTCAGATCAATACATAATTGAGTTAAGGTGAACTGGAAAGACATATTGACTGAAACAAAACAGCGTTATTAACGAAGCGCTCTTTCCTAGAACATTGACTACATTGCCCTTTTAGATTTTTCTTCCTGAAAAATCAAAATGATACGTGGAACGATACGTTTCATTCATTGTTTACAAATCATTGGCGACTGTAGGCGGATATCGTCACGACCTTGAAGTGATTCGATTTTCCGAAAAATTTTATATCCAACGAATAAGTAGTTGTTAAACAATGTACGACATACAAGTGGTATTTATTAAGCTGTTCTTCAGTACAGGTGCGGTGTTTTTCTATAACTTCATACTCGCTTGAGATCAAAGTTATATCCCTTCGTTCGTTAACTTCCTATATACAAAGAGCACTCTCCATGTTTTTCTTCATAATAACAAATAGGTTTGGATAGGTCTTCTTTTCTTCTCT